TTATTTCAGCATTTTGTTATTTCCCTTCCTCTCCCAAAATTAGAAAAATTTATATACAAGATGCAGGGCACCGACATCAAATACAGTGAAAACGGAGCGCCGGCGGAGCAGGTGGGGACGCGGCCGGCCCGGCGGGGGGCACGCCGGCCCCGGGCGCCAGGAAGGTCCCGCTGCGGGCTCGCAACTTGCCGCCGTCCTTCTTCACCGAGCCGTCCCGGGCGGGCGGAGGCAGCAGCGGGTGTAGCCCGTCGGGGTCCGGCGTGAGTCTGGGAGACCTGGAGAAAGGGGCGGAGGCCGTGGAGTTCTTCGAGTTGCTGGGGTCCGACTATGGCACGGGCGCGGAGGCGGGCGTCTTGCTCGCCGCGGAGCCTCTCGACGTGTTCCCCGCCGGGGCCGCGGTCCTGCGGGCACCTTTGGAGCTGGAGCCTGGCCTCTTTGAGCCACCACCGGCATTAGTGGGGAACCTATTGTATCCCGATCCTTGGAGCACCCCAAGTGGTCCCCCGACCAAGAAATCGTCCCTGACCGCAGCCCGCGGTGGCTTGACCTTGAACGAGCCCTTGCGGCCCCTCTATCCCGCCGCCGCCGCCGCGGACGTTCCGGGCGCGGAGGACGGGCCCGGCCACTTGGCCTCCTTCGCCCCCTTCTTCGCCGATTGCGCCCTGCCGCCCGCGCCCCCTCAGGTGTCCTACGACTACAGCGCCGGCTACAGTCGCACGGCGTACGCCAGCCTTTGGAGACAGGATGGGGTTTGGGAAGGCGCGCCCGGAGAAGAGGGGACACACCAGGATTGACTGCGGGGTACCCTGACCACCCATCAGAACTGTTGTGGGGAGCGCCCCCGTCTGGGTCTCTCCTAAACCCCGGAGAACGATGGGAAAAATGCACATGGAGGTGAAGCCGGATTTAAAAAACAAAATGATTCAATTAATGAAAGGAACTTCAGAAAAAAGAAGAAGAGGAATTTGGGGAGTTGTTTTCATAACAACGTCGTTTGGTTTCATTGTGATGAAAGCCATCGTTAAATTCCTTGTGGATCAGAGGAATCCAAGAAAAACAAACAAAAACAAACAAGGTTGGTTGGTCGTGGCTAAGGGGACCCGAAGTGGCTTCTGTTGCCACCTGTTCCGTCTCCAACCTTTCAGCAAAGAGCGCAGAAATTCGTGTAGTTCACTCTTCTGAAGCGTGCGCTGGTCCTTCCCCTTTGAATGCATCACGAATTAAAGTCTATGTGGAAAAGAACGGAACGGAGATATGTTGTTATTGATGTGTTTTCTTAGAGGAGAGTTTCTCCTGTGGTTCCTCCACCCTGCTAGGTGAGAGTGTAACTCAGGATACCAGGCCACTGCTGCCTTCCTAGTGCTGCTGGTCCCTGGGTGTGATTTTCTTGTCTGTCACTTTTAAGGTTTCCTTCTGCCCCTTTCTTCCACCCCTTCCCATAGTTCCTGGGCATTGATTCCTTTTCTTCTTTCTTTCCTGGTTTCTCATTGCTCTTTCTGCTATTGGTTTGCTTTTCTTGCAAATCTCTGAGTCCATTTCTCACCTGCCCCTTTCTGCTTTACCAACCACGTGGGAAGGTGGAGAGGAGGCAGGGTTATATCTTCGTTTGCATGTTAAGTTTCCTGGGAAGGGGGTGGCAGTGTTCCTTCACTTTTCAGTCACAACCCCTTGGGTAGATCAGAGGTGAAATATACACATCACAAAAAATGCTCTTGAGCAGCCACAGTGCCTGGAAGTAATTAGGAGACACGGGAGACCCCGTGTCCTTCTTGGCCCAACCATTTGCCTCATGATTGAATTGTTTCCAGGCTGCATAACTTTACATCTTTCTTCCAATCCCATTCTGGCCTCCCTCTGTGCCTACATTTGGTTTCTCTTTATTTATTTAGTTTTTGTTCCAGTCTTGGGAGTTGCCTCTAAGGTCTGGGCCACTGTCCCTGACTTTTTTTTTTTTAAAAACATAAAGCTAACATGCTAACACAATTTCTTGGCTTTCTGGTGGTTAATTGGAGCTAAGAGTTTCATGGACTTTCCTGCTGGGGCTGGCTTCAAACTACAATCCTTCGATCTCAGCCTCCTGAATAACTGGGGTTACAGGAATGAGCCATCAGCACCCAGCTGTCCTCATTTCATATAAGTATATTCTCGCTAATAATGACAGTGAATGGCAAAAAGTGTGAGGTTTCCAAATAACCCTCTGATTCCTTGAATAAAACGTGGGTGAATGAAATCACCTGAAAGGATCCTGGAGGAATAGGTCTTTAGCTGCTGTCAGTGGGAAATTGAAACATAACAGGGAAAGCAGCGATGAGTATGGCAGATGATAAAGACAGTTGGACAGAATGGGGAGGACTGGGTGGGAAGAGAAAGCTGGAGGGAAAGCAGAGGCACCAAATGAACATATGAGGGGAGATAACTTAGAAGACACAGGGGATGTATCTACTGATTGTATTGTAAAGGAAAGTTGCTCTGTTCCAGGCAGGCAGGATAGACTGACAGAGTATCTAGATGTTAGAAAGTCAAACCCTCAACCTTATTAAAACAGATGGTAAAATCCAGGTCCATGTTTGCAAAAACCTATCCATTACCTTGATATTCCCAGAAAAGAATTTACATGAAAAAAAAACCAAGTGCATATCAAGTGATGATATACACAACTTTATTTTGTTTTTAATTTTTAAATTTATTTTGAAAGTCTTTTAGTAGTTGTTGAGCAGGTGTTCCATGATGCATCTTGAATGATGCCACCCTTTTCATTGTTCTCTCCCATCTCTCCAAACCCCACCATCCCTTCATGTGAGCACTACATCATTTTCTTCTGTATAAAACTTTTCTGAAGCATTGAAGGAAATAGAATGAGGAAACTTAATAATGGAAAGAACTTTTGCAACCCTAGAAGCCTGCTGTCTGAATTTTCTTCCAAGTGTTTTTTTTAAAGATTAATTTCATGGTGCTAAGAGCATTTTAAACCATTTATTAAAATTATTTTATAAATATATCTAGCATAGAATTTCATAGTGAAATGACACTAATAACCCTGTGACTATTTCTAAGGCTTTATTGCCACTGTAATGTTTCTTAATTTTCCCCTTGAGAGTGTGTATGCTGTAATTTGCATGTGGTCACTGTCTTCTGCATTATGCCACCAACAGAGTTTCAAACCCTCAGTACTATTGATACTTTGGGTACTATCATTCTTTGCTGTAGGGGATGTCTTATTTTTTTATTGTAAAAATACTATACAGAGGGGTTACAGTTACATGAGTAAGGTAATGAGTCCATTTCCTATTGAGCACTGTTACCTCCTCCTTTGTTTTTCCCTACCATCCCTTCCCTCACCACCTCCTCAACGCCTCCCTCCCCTCCCCAAGTTGTAAAGTTCATTTTCAACATAGTGTCGTGTACATTTCATTGTTACAGTGGGTCATACTGTATCCTTATTTCAGCATTTTGTTATTTCCCTTCCTCTCCCAAAATTAGAAAAATTTATATACAAGATGCAGGGCACCGACATCAAATACAGTGAAAACGGGGGGTCATATCACGGGGGAAGAACATACAAAAGAAACAAAAAAAAATCACATAGTACATTTTAAATACATTAAAAACAATAGCAAGAAAGAAAAACCACTTGTGTCCCTATCTTGGGGTTCATTTCACTTAACATTATTTTATATGCTCATATGTACATAAGCTTTTGATCTTTTCTGCTTGTCCTAGACTTATACTAGTTATTGCAAATAAGGGAAACCATGGGATGTAGGGGCTGTATTGTAGAGTAAGTATCAATATCCTTGGCTTCTTCCTAATCAAAAATATCCCCATTATCACATACTTCCCAAATTAAAAATTACTACCAGTTGAGAACCACTATGCTGGGCAAATACATGTGCAATGGGTGTTCAGCACTTTATTCACATTCTCATTGAACTTTTAGAGGGCTGTGTCTAGATGTTGTTATTTCACTCATTTTTATTAGTAAAATCTAAGACCAGCTGAGGGAGGAGCTAAATCTGTTATCTTGGATTCCTCATACCTCTGCTAATTTACCTAGCCAGGAACTGGGTTGCTTCACATATTTAATGGAGTTTTTCCCATTGGCAAATTGGATACCAGTGTTATTGTGAGGGTTGAGCAAAAGGTGTACATTAGTCCTCACTGAGATGGGGAGGGCAATATTTGGCAAAGCTTGGCATTGAGCCAGGGTTCCAAAACCATCTTGTCATCCAGGGATACTAAGGCTGTGTGCTGGGCTCCTGTGGAACCCCCAAATGTCTGATTTCTCTGCTTCCCACTTTGCCTTCCAATCTGAACTATGTATGACCATAATACCCCTGCTACAGTAGAGTAAGTAGTGCCCATTAATAATAGCCCTGCTCACGGCTGAAGATATCCTTGCTTCCTTTCCTATATCATTTTCCACCTCTGAGAATTTTTATCTTGTTTGGTAAGATCAATATCCACAAAGACTTGTGTTTCACCCTGGACTTCAGTTAACTCATTGATAAAATGAAAGCTAGGCCTTAGTTACCAAAGGAAAGTCTAAAGCACTAAATGTCAGTGTTTTTCTTCAGGATTATTAGGAATGACAAATTCTTTGGCTCAGTCCTGCACTCTATCCACTTAGAAACTCTGGTATTGGGATCCAGTATCTGTTTCAGCAATCCTCCAGGTAATTTTGATGAATAATTTTGAGGGCCAAGGGGCTTTGCTTTCTTTTGAAAACTGGTGGAAAGAAGTTTGAAACCAACTGTCCCTCTGCTCCCAACATTTCAGCTCTTGAGACAGGGTCTCTTACAACCCATCAGGGGCATTCTGCTGACCAGAAGTGGAGGTTAGACATAAAGAAACAGAAATTTGACTTTCAAGACATCGATTGTAACTCAGGAGGCTGAGATCTGAAGATCATAGTTTGAAACCAGCCTAGGCAGGACAGTCTAAAAGACTACTCAGAAAAATGGTACAGTGTTAGCCTTGAGCAAAAGAATGCTCAGAGACAGGGCCCGGGCCTTGAGTTCAAGCCATAGGATGAGCAAAGAAAGAGGGGGCGGGAGAGAGAGAGGGAGAGAAAGAGAGAGGAGGGACTCTATAGATAATGACTATAGTTAATGAGACAGCATACTGCAAGTTTGAAAATTACTTAGATTTTGTTTTTTAGGGTACTAGGGTTTTTTTTTTTTGTCAGTTGTGGGGCTTGAACTCTCGGTCTGGGTGCTGTCCCTTAGCTCTTCAGCTCAAGGTTAGCGCTCTACCACTTGAGCCACAGCACCACTTCTGGTTTTCTGGTGGTTACTTGGAGATTAGAGTCTCACATACATTAATGCCTGGGCTGGCTTTGAACTATGATCCTCTGATCTCAGCCTCCTGAGTAGCTAGGATTACAGGCATGAGCCACTGGCGCCCAGCGGGTACTAGGTTTTTAAAGTGAGGGCCTGTGCTTGCTAAGCATTTGAGCCGCATCTCCAGGACTTTTTTGTTCTAAAATTCCCCCCTTCCCCCAGATAAGGTCTCATTTCTTGCTTGGTGTTGGGCTTGGCCACATGTTTAGCACACCTGAGATGACAGGTTTAAACCACCATGTCCTGATGATTGATTGTGATGGAGTCTTGCTAACTTCTTGCCTGTTTGAACTGCAGTCCTTCCAATCTTCACCTCTTAAGTAGCTGAGATTACAGAGGTATGCTACCATATCTAGCTTACTCAGTAGATTTTAAGTGTTCTCACTACAATAAATGATAAGTATGTAAGAAAAAGCATATGTTAGCTGAGTCATCCATTTCACCATGTGTTGGTTAGAGTATCAAACAATATGAATGATATTTTTTATTAGCTAATTACAGCAAAAAATTTGAAAAAGGAATAAAAGAATTTAAGTGCAATGAAGTGTTTTTCATATCTAGAAATACAATATCCTTCTAATTGCATGGTGGGACAGGCTGAGGATCCTAGGCTCCTGGGATTGATGATAAGAAACATTATTTTTATTAATTATAATAATTATACTGATAAAAATATTTATGATTCCTTTCTCAGGTGGCCATTTGGTGCCTCAAATGTATTTTCATACCTTCCTGCAGCTTTTTTTTTTGTCAGTCATGGGGCTTGAACTCTGGGCCTGGGTGCTGTCCCTGAGCTCTTTGCT